GCCTGCAAGCAGGAGAGAAGGAAAGAAGGAGTCTTCCCATTCTCCACCCTTTCGCCTCTTCTAACTAACAGCCCCAACTGTGGGTCAGGAATAAAGACCAGAAGGTCCTCAGCAGGAGGGTCCTTTTCTTATGTACCTAGGCCATTAGGCCTTGAAGGCCTAAGAAATTCCATGAGAATTTTTGAAAAGGATGAATGTAAAGATGGGGAAGCTCAAGGCTACATGGTCCTTTCATGACCCAAAGCTTTGAGCACCCCTCCCCAAGGATTATAAGATCTCATCTCCCTTTCTCTGGAGGAGGAGCCAGTCAACCAGCTCGTTCGTTTCAACAGAGCATGGCATATGAGCCCAGTGCTGAGCTAAGAGCCTGTGAGTGGGGCATAGCTTGTATAGTTCAAAGTGTCTTCATGGCCTCACAAAACATCCCTATCACAGAGGCAGACTAAATGATATTCCCAATTTAGAGATGAGGAAACAGAGAGCAGATGGGATTTTCCCAGGGTTACATCATTATGGCAAAAGTAGAGCCTTCTGATGACAAGTGTGTTGCTCTTTCTGCTTCCCCTGGCTGCACCAGGAGACGGAGGTTTACTCCCTGCTTGGGAGGGCAGCTCACACCTGGATTCATCCATCCGTTTACAAATAATACTTAGGCACCAACCAACTTCCAGATGCCTGGCTTGACTCTTGCAATACAATGTTGAGTAAAAACAGGCCTGATTCCTGCCTTCACGGAGTGCTCAGTCCAGCGAAGGATTTGAACATTGAATCACACAAATGTAGAGCTGCAACTTGTGCGCATGCTGGGAGAGAAGCACGCAGCGCTGCAGCAGCCTGCCGTGGGGGTCTGACATCATCAGGGGAAGCGTCCTGAAGCAGTAACACTGGAACAGAGATCAGCTAAGGCAACCAGGGAGAGAGAAGTTTCCCAGCAGAGCCATCATGCCAGGGCTCTGTGATGAGAGGCAGTGTGGAAGGCTGAGAATGCGAGGACAGGAAGCTGAAGGGGAGAGATTAGGAATACAGTGTGGAAATGACCGGAGAACAGGCAGGACCAGCAGGCCTGTGGCCATGTGGAAGAGCTCTGCCCTTACCCTAAAAGTCATGGGAAGTCAGTGGGTTCCAGATTCTGGGGAGAAAATGCCCCGTGAACAGCTCAGGCAGGAAGTGGTTTAGGACAAGACATGAAAGTTTGATCTCATGGAAACCATTTCTTCAAAATCCTGTCTCCTTTTCTATTTGCATGAAGGATCATTTCAAATATCATATGTAATATTTGTAACAGAAGCTTTCTTCATCAGACATGAGAAACCATCGTGATAAGAGGCATCATTAGTTGATGGACCACTAAGGAAAAAAGCCCGAGATGCGATGTCTAATAGGAACCTCCTCCTACCCCCACCAAATAAAGCAATGATGCCCTCAGTGAGAGGGTAAATGAGAAGTAAAGTCACCATGCAGAAAAAGGAAGCAAGGAAACCTGTGTGTCTTAACCCTGACACTAAGTGGGGGTAAAAAATCCTCCCCTGGGAACAGGAGTCCCAGACTGCTGGTATTCATGCAGGTTTGCTTTCTGAATTTGCACAGTGTGATCCAAAACATCAAGCAGAGAGTATGATGTCCAGCAGTCTGAGGCTGGGTGGCTCTGGGTGGCAGAAATAGTACTGTCCTCTCCCAGAGCACCTCCCTCCACTCTAGGCCAACAGTAAGAATATGATACCATCTTCCTGTCTTCAGAAATCCAAAAATGTGCACCTTGGAGCCAATGGAAGATGGCAAAAGCTCTGTTTCCTACATCCTACCTGAGAGAATTTGTTCAAATGACCTGTCTACAGTCTCTCTACCATCTTACCCGCCTCATCACAGGACGTTGTATACTTGTTTGGTGCTGAGACACTGCAAATATTAAATGTCCATTTGGCCATATTAATACACCTTGACCTTCACACAGCTGGGTTTCTAAGGAGAGGAAGCCACTAATGGAGCAATGCAGGGGAAGCTTTTTAGTGAAGGTCAAAATAGAATGCAGGCCCGGCCCGGTGGCTCACACCTGTAATCCCAGCACTTTGGGAGGCCGAGGTGGGTGGATCACTTGAGTTCAGGAGTGTGAGACCAGCCTGGCCAACATAGTGAAACCCCGTCTCTACTAAAGATATAAAAATTAGCTGGGTATGGTGGTGGGTGCCTGTAGTCCCAGCTACTCAGGATACTCAAGAGGCTGAGGCAGGAGAATCACTTGAACCCAGAAGGCAGAGGTTGCAGTGAGCCAAGATCATGGCACTCCACTCCAGCCTGCACACCAGCCTGGGCAACAGAGTACAGGCACCCACCACCATGCCCAGCTAATTTTTGTATTGTTAGTAGAGATGGGGTTTCACTATGTTGGCCAGGCTGGTCGTGAACTCCTGACCTCAGGTGATCCACCCACCTCTGCCTCCCAAAGTGCTGGGATTACAGGTGTGAGCCACTGCACCCAGCTCAGACTACAAATTAAAGATTGGTTTCTGTGCTCTGTTTAAACACCATCCTGAGCTGTGTGGGAGGAGAAAGTGAGTGTTTGACATCTCCTTGAATAACGATTCCCAAGGAAGCTGGCAAGCTGGCTCTTGGGGAAGGCAGCTGCCTGTTCCTGCTCTGAGGCAGGTGCTTACAGCCTAGCACTGCCTGACTGTGTCAGAAGGTGGGGCGATGGTTTGGTAATGGATGATTCTGCAGCTGTGGGAATCTGGCAGTGAAGGGATGGAGCAGAGGAGTAATGTCAGGAAGAGCTGGAGTCTCCCCCATGGTCCCCTTCCTCTCCCTGAAGGTGATCATGAAGGTGGTGGCTTCCCCCCTCACTCCGTCAGGCAGAACAGGCAGCCCAGCCCATGCTGGAGGTGGCTGTGTGCCCAGCTGTCACCCCTACTGTCAAGCTTCTGTAAATGCCTGTGGAACCAGATGCCTTTTTTCCTTGGTCTGTGAAATTCTTGACCCCAAGGAGGGCATGTTCACATTGCAGAAGGGTCCAGTGGCGTTGAACAAACACTGATTGTGCTCTGGCTCAGGGGGAGGTGACAAACAAGGACAAGACAACTTTGAATGAAAGACTCAGTGTCTGGGGCAGATTGGGACTCAGCCAACTGGGAGATGGGAAAAGCTGTGGTGAGTGATAAAATAGAGCTTCCTCATCTCCTAGAAATCAAAGGAGAGAGGAATTCTGATTGAGAAAGGGTAGGACGGTGGCAGAAAACAGAGGCCTTCCCAGAGATGCTGTCCCCACAAGTGACCTCCCCCCCTCCACCCCCAAGTTGTGTCCCTTGAGGAAGGCATGAGTAAAATATGGAAGGATGGGGATGAGCCCAGATTGGGGTTGGGAACTTGGAACTGCTGAATGGAGATTAAAGAGAGGAAGATTATAGAGATTTAAGAGAGGGTTTTTAACTTTTTGTATGGTCCCCTCAGCAGGAAAATTGTCAAACTTGCTCAAAAGTATAAGGAATGGGATAGTGGATTCCAGGACCCGTGACCCCACTCCAGCAGGAATCAAGTCATGCTGGTTCTCTTTCATTCATCTCCCCCTTACTTTTCTTCTGAGCAATTTTTTGTCCATAGGAAAAGCTTCAAAGGTTCTTCCTCTCCTACTGTTATAAAACCCAAAAGACGTGAGAGACATAGCAACCAAATGCCACACATTTTACAGCAAACTTGAGACTTACTTAACTTATAAATTCTTCAGCATAAATCTCTGCTAAGGATTTTTTTTTGAGACGGAGTTTCACTCTTGTTGCCCAGGCTGTGGTGCAATGGTGCGATCTCAGCTCACTGCAACCTCCACCTCCCAGATTCAAGCAATTCTCCTGCCTCAGCGTCCCAATACCTGAGATTACAGGCTCCCACCATCATGCCCGGCTAATTTTTGTATTTTTAGTAGAGACAGGGTTTCACCATGTTGGCAGTTTAGTCTTGAAATCCTGACCTCAGGTGATCCGCCCACCTCAGCCTCCCAAAGTGCTGGGAGCATGAGCCTCTGCGCCCAGCCAGGACTTTCTTTTTAATATAACCCCATGCCATTATCATACCTGACAAAATTCGCAATAATTCCTTCATCTCACCTGGATTCCCATTCCATACTCACATGCCCCACCACTCCCAACAGTGTCTCATTACAGCTGGTTTGTTCAAATCAGGATCCAAACAGTCCACATGTGGCATTTGGTTGCTACGTCTCTCAAGTCTCGGGTTTTATCACAGTAGGAGAGAAAAAACTTTTGAAGCTTCTCCTGGGGACAAAAAATTGCTCAGAAACTGATGGTCCCATAGAAGAAGAATAAAAAAGTGAGTATATCCATGTGGAGACCTAACCCAGAAGAGCGAGACCAGACCAAGCAAGGAAAGGGACATTTCTGCCTCCTTCCACTGGCTTGTTCACTGAAG